GATGGATTTATCAACTAAGTTAACTATGTGATAGAATTAAATTTTAAAATTGTAAAATCCAATTTAATTATTATATAAAGTATGGAAATACAAGAGTGTTAGTAGGCTAATTTCCCTGTTGTCAAGATTAAAAGTTTCAATATTAACTTTGTTTCAACTTCCATTTATACTAAAAGAGGCATAATTTCCTAGCTTGTTTACCAGTGATTCCTCAGTTTTCCTCTGGAAGAGTCTCTGAATCTTCTAAAAACTACCTCTTCTCCTGTTCTTGTCAATCTTTAGGCCTTGAACCAGCTGTTTGAAAAAATCATGGCTCTAGACATTGATGAGCGTCACCTTCTGCGTCTGGGTCACGGAGAAGAGGAATTAGAGACCGAGAAAGATTTCAGCAGGTGAGAAAGGAGGTGCTAATGATAAACTCACTTGCATAAACATTGTAGCAAGATGTGTGTGTTGAATCCACTCTACCTCCCATGTAAATGTGCAAGGAGCTGTGTTTGACAAGTTTTTACCTTTCTCATATTTTTGAATCTCAGTAACACAGGGTACACTAGTTTTCCATACAGGGTTCAGTAATTTTGGTTATTACCTGCTGCAGAAACTGTGCTCCCTTGAGAATCTAAAGGCAGAATCAGGCAGTTGCTTCTTGACAAACTCAACTGCTTGAATAAAAGTAGTCCATTATAATTTTTGGGCTCATATACCTTTTATAGAATTAGTCTGTGAGAGAAGTTAAAATGATAAAGGTAGGTTTTTGGAGCTGCAATTTTTTTTTTGCAAATATGATATCACTTCTATTGTTACAGTGAATGTTACATTAATAAACAAAAAAATGAAATTAAACTTTCTGCTTTTAATTCTTCAGATAAGCAACTTTGAGGCTAAGCAATATTTCATTGATAACATACTGAAATATACATACATAAGGAAAGCTATCAACTCTGTATCAGTATAAAGACTTAAGAATCTTTTCTCCTAAATATTTGTATGTTTGTCAGGTGTTAGTCCAATTGACGTCAGTAGGATTAAACACATTCGTAAGTGTAAGCACGGGTATAATGGTTGTGCACTGGAAATATTTGAACTGTCCAGTACTGGATTCTCATAGCAATACTTTGACTTCATAAGCTGTAGTAAAAATTACATGTAGTCACTAGAAGCTACCCATGTATACATAGTTGAGTATTTAGCAAAATAAATACCTTGTGATTTTTTCTTTTAATTTGAATGCTTTGACATAATCAAATTATTCCAGAAATTTGATAGCCAAAATCTTAGTGATATAATGCCATAGCAAATATTTATTTAGTAATATCCATAGTTTAGTATATTCCTTGAACAGTAGTGCTCATTATTAAAAGGAGTTTTGTTTGAGACACTCTACATTGCTTCTTTTCATATTTTTTCAATGTAACTTTGGACCTATGGGATATTACTGCAGGTGCTACGGGTTCTGGCAGTTTGGGAGGGAGGGGTAAAGGTTGAGGAATATATTTGAAGGTGGGCTGCACTACTGTGAGAAGTTTTTCTCATATGCCTTATGTTTGTTTTTAGGTTGCTTCTGAGTTCATGCTTTTTCTGCATGAGGTTGCTTTTGAGGGCACAATACTGCTTAAGGAATTTGTCCTGCTTGCAAGCTCGGTGTTCCTTTTTTGCACCTTCTGCAAGCACAGCAAAACACAGCAGGGGGTATAAGAACATGAGGTGGAGAGGAGCTGATTAAACTGGTACTGTCACTGAAGCACAAAGGGGATCAGCTAAAGAAAATTTTTTTAGGAATGAATGAATACATAAAAGAGGACATATGACAAATTGTGAGAAATAGGTCACGGGAGGTGTGAGTGGGGAAAAAAAATCTCACAACTGGTTGCAGCCACTTTTAATTATAATGGATTAGAGTTGTTGACAAAGAAAAATAGTTTTGTTCAATACACACAAGGGGGTCTCCAAGCCCCTCGGCTCTCCTTCGGTCCAAGCGAAGGCCTCACCTGTGGACTGCCA